GTTTTTTTCATTTTTATTCAAAATTAAATAAATACAAAATAAACAGCCATTTCATTGCCGTCAAAGAGCTTTTTTTACTTTTTAAGAAATAATTTATTTTTCTGGAACAGCAAGAATTCACTTCCCACATAATTAAAATTAATTACATTTTTGTAGAAATTTTGCCAAAAAATTTCTAAATATTTTATCCATTTAATTTTGAAGCCCTCAGCCTCCTTGTCGCCCAAGAAAATATGATTAAGTACTTGGTTACTTCATTTGAACCCGTTTCCCCCCACACGTGGCACTGTATAAACTTTGCAGCAAAATGCTATTATGGCTCGTGTCCTGATTTACTTCGCGCCTGACGGCTGCACCTCATAAATAAAAACAATTTATAACCCGTTGCTTTTCCACAGCCACACTGTTGGGAATGCATGTTGGTTATTTTGCGAGAAAAGCCCTCTCGGTTCGTCGGCGGAATTCGCAGCCGACAAAAGAAAAAGCGGCCAGACGGTCGCGAGACATGCCTGGAATTACAACAAACCCTTTTTCGCGTCAAGAATGGCAATGTATAGACGAGGCTTCGCACGCAAAGGGCAAAAACGCAACGTTTGCAAAATTATGTATGTATGTATGAAATATTCAGACCTCTCGGAAAATGGGTTCACATTTTGTGTGTGTATGAAATTTAAATAATGCATTTTTCCAATTCAATTTTTTCTTGACTTGATGTCCGTATTTTTAAGTTTCCATTTGTTGTCTAGACGCGATGAATTTTTATCTTTTTCCACTGTATATTTGCATTTTTGATGCTATATATTGTCGATTTGATTCTATCGAATAAGCAGAAAACTTTTTTCTTTCCGTCTAGAGCAAGATTTGCTGCACAATAAGCATTAAATAACCGCGGAATTGTAAATATACAAGAATCACAATCATATTAAATGCGTTGCCTCGGAGAAATACATGGCAAAGGTGGAATAAGCATGTTCAGGCTCACGAGATCAATAATGCGCAATCGACATAATCTTTTTATCATAGGATGTAGGATATAAATTTTAGAGAATCAAAATATCGGCAACCCGTTACTATTTTAGTGCGGATGCGGATGAATAAAAAAATAATATTATTGGATCGATAATGTAACTAAAAAGTAATTTTGTTTGCTTAGTTTGAAAATCACGATTATTGAAGCAAGCCTTGCAGGACTTAAAATACAAATATTTTTAGATTAATTTATGAATTTGCAGAATTAATTTTTATTTAATCTCGGATGCACTCGGATCAAATTTATTAAATGTGAGTTTAAGCGAGTTTTTGATTTCAATTTTTGTTAATGTTTTAAAGGTTCTTCAGGTAAAAAAATGTTACCCGGAGCCAATAACTCACTTTTTGAGTTGAAAAATCTGCTGCGGGCTGTTTTTTCATCAAATACTGGGTGCAAATAGGGGTTCAAATGAAATAGAATGGCTTTTCACAACTTTGAAAGAATATTAAAAAAATCATGTTACCAAGGAATTATTGTTTCTTGTTATGAAGTAGTATTTATTTAATCAATGCTTGTACAAACGTATCGAAAACAAAATAGTTTCATTTATAAAGAATCGAATATACGAACTATAATATGTAATTTTTAATGAAATTGAGCTTAGATTAAAAAAAAAAACACTTTCCAGATTATATTTAATTTTTTAATAATTTAAATAAGTTAAAGATTTTGATGCTGCAGAGAACAAAGGGTTTTATGTTATGTAAAAACATATTAAAAAATTTAATTCAAAGCTATCACTCCAAGTGGATTTTTTCAATAAAGTAGAGCCCAGATTCAATAAAAAATATTTTCATTCTTTTTGAAAAACTTCGCGCGAACCGTAGCACCTCAGAAAAAGAACATAATGATTCTAATGTTATATTAAAACGATTGAATTGTTTTCGTTGGAATGAAAACAGGTGGAACATAATGTACTTCTCAGGTGAATCCATTTTTGCTATGGGCTCTTGTAATTGTAACAAGCAAGTTTTTTATGTTTGTTGTCTCAAGATAGCAAGATACACAAAGGGAAGCGTTGATTCTGAAATCCTCGACCCAGTTTTGTGTTGTTTCCTTTGCAATTCCTTTCACATCCCGTACTCGTTGCACGCACACACGACAGGTCGAACGCGTGCCGCCGACGCGAGATCCAAATTGTGCATATCCGCGTCTCCCTGATTGGGTCGATGGGCTGACGGGCGTGCAAATTGGCCAGGTGGTTATGCAACCGACGCAGAAGCACCTCTCCCAGTGAGAGCGAGCAAACTGGCTTGTGTCAGCACTCCTCGAGGACCCTCTGGAGGCCACAGGGTGGTTGCCACCCCCGCCCACCTCTCTCGTTCGCATCTCGATCAGGCAGCCTCTCATATTCTTTCAAAAAATCCCACTGCCCGCATTTTGCCAGAGGCGCTTGCTGAATGAAAATTTTCTGCTGCTTTATAATGAGGAAAAATGATAAAAGTTTTCAGAACTCGTTAAATTTTTTTCAAACGAACCACAGAAAAACAATATTTGTTTAAAACGTATAATTTTTTCATCGTAATTTATAATGAGGAAAGACGGAAAAGGATCAAATTAGATATGAGCGAGTAAAGTTTATCCTTGTTGAATTTTAATGAAATTTATCAAATATTTTTATCTAGATTTGTAAGGCATCAACCAATGGATAAAATTTATACAAAAAGAAAATTTCATGGGAATAAAATATTATATTATTCTTGTCTTGTAAGCTTCAATAGAAACACAAAAACGGCGTCCATACAAATAAATTTGGAACCGTGGAAAAAAAGTCGAAAATATTGAGGTTAAATTTAGATTAAAATAACTGAATAATTTAAGTTTTAAATAATTCATGATATATAATTTTTATTTGAAGAAGTTGACACTCGAGGAGATGATCATGGAAATGAAGATTCGGGCTTTTCCTCGTTGCAAAAAATTGGTTTTTATTAAAAAACAAACGGCTCAACCAGTTTCGGTCACGGTCTGCGACCCTATTTCATGAGCAAGAAAAAATACAAAAAATCAGCAAAATTTAAAAACCACATTTTAACATAAAAATAAAAATCTTTAAACTAACAAATTCAAGTACCAACCTATTTCAGCCGTTTGTTTTTGAATAAAAACCAATTTTTTGCAACGAGGAAAAGCCCGAATCTTCATTTCCATATAATTTTTAATTAATTAGAAGTAAAGGAAGGGAGAAAAAATACAAAATGATATTTTTTTCCATTTTAACATTTAATAATTTAACATTTATCAGGTATTTTCATCTAGATTATTCAGGTAGAAAAATAAAATATATCACTTTTAAGAGAAAAAGAAGATTTATTTTGTTTGAAAAAATTTAGGAATCTTTGTAAAATTTAACATTTTTATTTTCCAACATTTACTTTTGCATTTGAACATACTTGATTTAAAACAGAGTAATTGATACTTATCAAAATATGTACTTTTGGAAAACTGACTATATATTTATGTAGAAGTAACGAGACACCTTTTTGCGGAATGGAAATGTACACACATCATGACATCAGCTCCATCATTTCAATACACTTTGAATTAAAAGCACCCTTTGCATTTGTTACACAACGAGGAAAAGGGCAAAAAGCAAAGATTATTTTTCTGCCTTTTCCCAAGCAAGCTTCTCCACTTTCAGCTCTCGCGCGTCATTAATTTGCACTTCAATGAAAAACTGTTGCAAGTAGATCATGAGTGCATCTGTAGGACTTTCACAGGCACACACCGCGAAAGATGCAAATTGTCGTGTTGCATCCTTGTGCACCGCCCGCCCGCCTCACAAACGGCCTTGCATTAAGCAAAATCGATGCCCAACAACCAGAACCAACCCTCACTTTGTCCAACTTTTCTCTGCCAAGATAAACTCAACAAACACTCAGCTGATTGCTTACATCTTGGGAAAATCGAACTGAAATCGTGAAAATTATTCTAATGCAGAGATGAAAGTTGTGGATTAAAAAAAAAATCTGTAATTTAAAAAAGTTTTCCTCTCACAAATTAATGAGTTTTTAAGATTTTTAATACTGACAGATAAGACAGCTCAAATTTGATGAAAGTTGGTATTTAACTTTCTCAACCCTTGGGTGTTCCTTAACTGCTATCAAAGTTGCCCGATACATCACTACAGGGGATGGGAGTTCCAATTAAAACAGATTTCAAAATTTAGAAAAACAAGTCCTACATGCAGAGATTTTGTTTACTTTCAAAGTTCATGGAGTAAAATGTCAAATATTCAATCAGGATAAATTGGCAAGCCCTATTTTGGCTGTTTTGGGGGTACCTTTTGGGTATTAGAAGTTGAATTTCGTTGAAAATCGGGAGAGATGTCTCCTCTCAAATACATTTGTTAGTGCTGTGTGAATATTTGATTTAAGCCCGTATTGCTGCAAAAGGTACACAAGAAGTTTGTGTAATTTGTATTGAATGCGAAGCTCTCTATCAACAATCCTGATTTTCCTCAAAGAGTAGTAGCTGGACGAACTAATTTACATCACGCAAGAGTTGTTTATTAATTAATTCCTGGTATTTCTTCACGATAAAACCTGATTTTACAATTAAAAAATGTAAGTTTAAATCCGAAACAATTTATTTCCACATTCTTTTAAATTTTGTGAAGTGACCGTTACATAAACAACAAGGCATAATATCTTGTAAATGAGTTATAAAAATTCTTATTTCTAGAAGAATCTTCTTGCAAGATTAAAATCCGATTTTTTCCCCATTCTGCAGCCCCACCCGCCCTGGCGGGCCACTAATGGCGCCAAGATTTCACTGCAGAGCTGATTGTCCACTTAGGGGTCGCCAGGGGCTAGCTAGCATTTGTCCCTTTTCCCTTCTTTATCCCTCTCTACAAAAAAAAGCAAGTTCGGACGCTCTTTGTGTGCGAGATTCGATGCGCGTGCGCCTCTGGCGCCAGCACTTGAGGCAGGAAGATGAGGAGCAGATTCATTCTTGTTGCAGTCGACAAGCGATGCTGCATGTGGAGCAACGGCACTCCCACCTCCGCCGCCCCCAGCTCGCCGCCTCCGACCCACGCCTTCACTCTGCACGCACGGTCAGTTTTTTATTTAAAAAAAATTTTATCAAAATTCTTGTTGCTAAATTATTTTAAAAGGTGGAAAGTGTACCAGGAAATATAAATTTTGGTTATTTTCAAAATAATTGAAAACTTCTCAATATACATTGCGTTAACTTGAAATCGCTTCTCTTTTCCAGTAAGCTATGGGGAGAAACGATTGAAATTATTCGTAATTTTATCCAGCTCAAAACTGGTTTCAAACGAGTTTTAATAAATCTGCAAAGTTTTCATTAATAAACGTCCCCAGAGGCCAAGCACATAATTTTCTTTGGTGAAAGTTTTGACGGCCACCTAATTCCTAATGCGCGATGAAAACTGGCGGAAAATGTTTTTCCTTGTAATTGAATAAATAATAATTCATTTTTAACGAATTTGACCTTTCACAATCAATTTTCTGATACTTTTTTCGCGGCAATTTTATTATCGAGATATAAAAATTATGAGAATTTTTTAAAATTACAATATAATGTTCATATACTTTAAATTATTAGCTCTAAAAACTCTGGAGAAGTTGGAAGCTTTGAAGAACAAGGAAACAAGCCCACAAAATCAAACTCGAAAGCCTTCGGCAAATGCTTTTGATGTTTCCATTTCAGCGAGTTGTTGCTTTTGCTAAACTTTTCATTTGTTTAGAGTAAACTTATTGGCAATTTTTTAATAAAAAAAATCCTTGTTGAAATAAATTCAACATATATTATAAAAAGCTTTGCCTGCAAATAAAATTCAAAGAAGTTCAGTTTCCAAGTTTTGACTTACATATTTTTTGTATTTGAAAGAAAAAAGAAAATATGACGTAAAAAATAGTATGTAGCTGCTCACCTCTTTCATCTCTAGATTCTTTTTAAGAAATCGCAATTCAAAGAAGCAATAGAATAGTTAGATTTGCAGCAAGAACATTTGTATAGTTTTTAATATTAATAAATGATAAAAATTTTATTACTTAAATAATTATCTTTATTCCCTTTTTGGAATTGATTTGTTTACCGTGATCCCTGTAAAGAATAAAATCAGACGCCAATGGCAAAAATCGCCAATAATTGGCATTGAATAATCTTCTAAGTATCCAGTATTGCTGAAAATCTAATCGGTGTAAAAGGTCAGCACAATATTATTATTTGTTTGGACTGCGAAATATGCCTTCTTCTTTTTTTATCCAAGAATGTGCACAATTTCAATATGGGCGAGTTGGTGGATAACAAGACTCGCGCCCATTGTGCCCCACAAGAAACCATTGTGATAAGCAAATAGGCAAACAAGATATATCTACGTGCATTTCGCGTAAGTTGTCGGTTCATTCCGAGTCTACCAAGGGAACCCTGCTGGTGGTCGCGAGCATAAAACCGATTCAACCGATTTATGCAACCCGCTTGCCATGCACGTTCATCTAGTTGCATATTACAATTATCGTGGCTAAAACATGTAATTAATAAGCTTGCTTTTTCTATAAAACCAAAATCGACTCTAAAACATATTCAAACATCCAAATGAATTGTATGAATTCATCAAGATCAAAAACAAAAATTTTGAATTACTAACAAAAATAATTAAGCTCTGTCTCTCAAAAACATTTTCCAATGGGAAGAGAAATTTCAAATACAGAAATAAATACCGAATTATAAATTATTCAATGAGGAAGTCCACAAAAGGGCAAAGTTTGTATAAATACTATATTGAGTGATAATTGAATGAGAAAACTTTTAATCAGAGTTTTCCGGGTTTGCGATGAATTCAGCGGTTCCATTTATCCTCATTTTGCGGTTTGCGGGTGTTCCCCCCGCATTGCTTGGCAGATTCGTCATACTCGGGCCCCAACCATTGTTAAGGCACACAATGGCAAATCAGCAGATCAATCGTGCACACAGTGCGCTCCTCAGATGACTCTTCAGCTGCCTTCTGTCTCGCGATGATGCACCGAAAAAGCACATGGTTTTTTCTTTAATTGGCAAACTCTCCATGCAAACGTGAAAATAATTAGTATCCAGAGATTATAAAATTATTCCATTTGAATATCAGCTAAATAACTTACTTTTAAATATAACTGTTTCTCAGCAACCATCTAAACAATTAAAAAAAAGATGCTTACGGGCGAGTTCTCAAAGTTAAACAACCTAAAAATTCCACGCGTAAGCTCAAAATCTCTTCTTTTCTGTTTTGGAAGTTGCGGAAATCGGATTTGCACCAACACAAAAAGGAGAGAAAATTCTGACAGTCTTCGTAGAAGTGGCCTTTGTGGTCAAGTGCAAATAGCCCCTCCATCAGCTTTTTGTGAGTTGTAAACAAACTTGGCTAGAGGTGTTTCTCGCTGCTCTTTTCTCATCAAAAAAGTAACCATTTTCATTGCCTTTGAGTTGGAATAGACTTTATTTAAAAAAACGTAAATTATAAATTGAAGGTGAATTTTCTTTTTACTACAAAATTAAATGCATGCAAATCCGATTAGAAATTTAACAAAATAGAGCGACCTTTCGGTGTAAGCTTAAATTTAGATTGCCGTGGCGAGACATGGGATTAGATTTTGCCTCGTTCGGAGCAAAGGGACAAAAATATGCGTCCAGCAGCAGCGGTTAATCGCGGTGGCACGGACTCGGCATCAGGGGTACGAGAGCACAAGGCTTTAGATAGTCTCTCATAATTACGGCACTGCCGAGATTCACGGCAGCGGCGAGCATTTTGCCAGGCGCATAAATGGGTCAAGTTAGTGTAGAGCTTCTCAGAGGCACACAATTGAATGAATTTGCAGTGCATTGTATTTGTCTGCAATGACTTCACTTTTTAATTAAAATAGAAGGGGAAAGTAGACTCTGCAAGTGCTTTTATTTATATTTGCTTGAGGAAAAAGCATTTTTCTCATGTTCTCCTCAAAATTTTGATATCTGAGCAAAAAAAAAAACAACGAAAACAAATTCTGAAGGACTTATGTATTTGAGGCTTTCTGTTGAGCCCTTTAAATTATTCTGCACAAAATCACGTGGTATTCTTCTTTCAATGTTCACGCTACAGTTGTTAATTAGTCAAATTATTCAGCATTTCATAGGCAAATTGCTCAATAAACTGTTGTACTATCCTAAGCTAACTTAGCTCTTAGCTTGTGAGAATATTCCCAATTTTATTTATATTTAAATTTTAAATTATGAATAATAATTTTAAAATATAAGTTGAAAACAATTAATTAAAAATTTAGAAATATTACTGGATTCTTGTTCTTACCATTTTTTTGTACAATCTGTTTAAAAACAATTTAAAAAATTGCAATCCTCTAAAATATACGTTTCCTTGTCTTGAAAGAAAGTAGAAAATTGATTTAAAATTATTGTTACGCTGCCAAGGGGCAAATTATCTATTGATTGCCCTCCCTTGTCTGCAGCAATATATCAAATGAAATAAGGATAGCTATCTCCAGTACCTCAGTGTGTATCCAGTTATTACAACTCGAGCTCCTAGGGCCGCCGCAAAATCGAGTTTCGCTAATTGCTAGCCGTTGTTTACGTTGCTTGTTTAAGCTGCAACTACACGCGCAGGCAAATTCCGTTTTAACCATCATGGCTAAGTGGGTGGGATGTATAGACGAGATGTACGCACGGCTCACTGCGTTTGTACAATCGCTTTGAGCTACAGAGACTCGGTGATGGGTCATGGTTCACAAGTACACCGCTCTAAATGCTCAGCTGATTCGGGTGCGTAAAGGAGAGACCATGATACCCTGAGCAATTATTCATACGTGTTGTGTGCGAGAGAGAGGGAGAGGGAGAGACTCATGCTTGCTCTTTGGTTCCAACATCTGGCGAGAACAGGGCTTGGATAGGAACTGCCGAGCACAAAAGATTCACAGATTTCTCTCGATTCAACCCACAATAATTGTTTTATAATAATAGAAAGTTGAAAAATAATTAAACTTATTTCTGTAGCTTATTGGAGCAGTTTTCAGTCCATTTTGCCTGCTCTCACTTTTATACGAAAGACGAATAGGATTGGAGCTTGATTTCCGCAAAGCTCAAAAAAGGGCACAAAGCATACACCAGACCGATAATACACTGTCTTAACTTAGCCAAAAATATTACCCTGACGTGATTTACCTGTGTGGATAAAATAAAATTATCCTCATTGGCATTGTAAAATCAAAAGTGCAACAACGGAGTCCATTTTGGCTATTATTAGAAAACAAATTAGAATTATTTTACCATTAAATTTGCTTTATTTTGAAAGTAATGGTTTATACTTGTATAGATCGCCTTCAATATATTATTGATTGTGATATAAATTGAATAATTAAGGTCTGAGGGTGATGTATTTTGAAGTGAAAAATACTCAAGTAATTACATAAAGTTTTTCAGCCCACATAGTTTTAACAATAAAATAAAGTTTTTACTATGCAGATTTCGCCATGGATTAGTTGAAATTGGTAATGTTTGAAGTGTGAATCCAACTATTTAATTGAAGTGCTAATATCATTTTTGACGATGATTGATTGAGCAGGCGTAAACAGAGAGTGTTTGCTTTTCAATCACATACAACCTCTCATTTGAGCCTTTGAACGCCAAGTAATTAATTTTCATTTTAATTAATTGACGAAAATTAGTCTTGCGACGAGACGCTTGTTCAGCCAAAAGAACCTCTTGAACGGAGCTAATTCTACACAGAGGACGATTTCTATCAATATTTTGGGTGAAGCGCGCCAGTCTAAAAATAGAAAAATGTAAAAATAGATGTTGGCCACAATTTTTGATCGGCTCGCAAGAAAAAAGGGAAACTTTCCTCTCAAAAGATTGCTCCTTAGGTTTATCCATCTATCCTGGTCAGCGGAAAATATGTTGATGTGTATATTTCCTAGCCAACGTAAAATTAGGCACTAATTGTTGCGACCAAAATCAATAAAATATGCTCCGGAAAATGGCTGCGGTTAATTATTCTGGATACATTAACTAAATCACTTTTATTCATATTCTCTCTCTACAGCCACAATAAATACAAAATGGAGCTTCCTGTAATTTTCCTCATATTTGCTGACAAAACGCCATCATGAAGTAATCGCTCGTTTTTGGAATCGTTTGTGACTGAATAAATAAATAATCATTTAACGTCACATGAAATTATTGTCAATGACAAATATGGAAACTGTATCGTTCTATCCTAGGAATTCTGAAGTTTTAAGTTTTAAGGGAATTTCTTTGACAATGAAAATTACTCCTGTTTGGAGTAGCACGTTTTTTTTAATAGAGTATTTTATTCAGTTTCTGTAATAAATTAAAATATTTATTTGAAAGTACATAATATATTATATTAGAATTGCTTGTCGTGATTCATGAAGCCTGATGAATGACAAAGATTTTGTGTTTCAACATTGGATGCAAAATTATACATGCGGAATTTTGAATATTAACAAAGCAATCATTTATCAGCGAGATTAAATGGGGCATGTTTTGAATTTTTGTATATTGCTCTTCTAAACCAAACAGGATTTGATAAATTTTTTCGGCAAAAATCCACATTAACGATTTTAACACTTTCAATGTTCAATTACAATTACCCTCTTAATTGAACAGATATGCAAATATTGAAAGAGTTAAAACTAGTTATAGACCACGCGATTTGCTCTGTTTCAGTACACGCGGATGAAATTTTCAGTGACCAAAATCATAGTGGGTGCGCTCGCATTTGCACATAAGCGGATTGGGTTTGGCTTTTGAAAGATTGTTTTGACAGCAGAGCGGCTGCTGCGAATAATGTCAAATCCAATAGAACATTGGCGACGTCCCACACGAACCCTGTCGGTGCTCAACGGTTTGCACCGATTTGATGGAAATTATGTGCAGCGTGTTATGCTCTCTCTATGTATGGCTGTCGATATTATGTCAAGCAGTCTGTCAACGGCTAGAAACTAATCAATGAACATGGATGTTGATGCGTTTTTGTATTAAATAGCATTGGCTCCTGTTAACAAATTGCCGAATTGTCACCATTAATTACAACAGTGCATATATTATGCAACTATTAATTAGTTTTCTAGGTACATTAGAAATGTCAAAACAAACACAATTAAATTAAATGTAAATTAATTTTCAAAACAATCTGCAACAATATTAAAACAAAATATCCTCCACGCTTTCACATTTTATAAGTTTGGGAATTTTTATTTTATTGATATAGGTGTTAAAAGAAAAGATTTTTTTTTTTGTGTGTGTGAGTAAAATCATCAGAAATGATGGGCCTGAAAAATTAATATTTTAAACTCTGCATTTCCTAAAACTCTAAAACTATTTCAAGATTAATAGTAGGACAAAGAGACTAATATTTGTCACACGATTTTAATGAAAGATAATTTTTTTTTATTGATATAGGAAAGACTTCTGAATAATTTTCATAATATTTATTAAAGTACAAGTGAAATGCAGCTTGATAAACATAATCGTTATAATATTATAAAATGAATTAATACTTAACTCAATTCAATTTCAGGACGCTCTTATTATCAAACTATTAAGTGAGTTTACATGATTTCTAACCTTATTTTCTGCAAGATGAGGAGCATGACCAAAAAATTAATTATATTTCAACAAAAATCTAATCACCAAAACGTTTTTTTCATAATAAAGGCAAGTAAAGTAATTTTTTTTATTATATTGTAAAACTTGCAAAAGTCTTTAGCTCAATAGATTTCTTTTAGTAAGTATAATATATACATAAAAATATTAAGTGTAGTTCTCAAACAATATATAATTTTGTCCGAGAACTAAACTTTAAAAAATGAAAGTCAATAACCATGGAATGTGATGGAAGTAGGTTGAAACTCAATTTATTTCCCCATACTGCAGATTATTGTAAAATATTATATAGAGAATTTTATCTGAAACTGAAAGAGCAGCTTTCACTCTTGACTTGCATTTCAAATATACCACACGCAATTTATGATCAATCGTATCGACAAATTGCTCTTGGTTATAATGAATATTTTTTAAGTTGCCACAAAGGGCCGCAGTTAATTTGCATACCAATTAATTTGCTCGTTACTCATTTGTGAAATTATCGCATTGATTGCAAGGCAAATTGAGCAGAATTGCGTGCATTGAATTGCGAGTGTGCGGTCGGGAATATTCAAAATTTCATGTAAATTGCGCATTCAACGCGCGTTTCATTAGTCAATATAATGTCAACTCAACCTCATTACATGCTGCTTGAAGTTAACATTGTTTTTTTGTAACAAGAAAGCAGGATTCGTTACATTACAGATCGAGGTTTTTCTTTGATATCATTTTCTATGGAAAAAAATGAATTTCTCTCTCTCAATATTTCCATACTAAGCTCGTATTGCAATTATAAAATTTTTTATAATATTTATTTCACTTCATTTTTATTTAACAATATTCTGATTTCTGATGTTCAATATCTCTTTTCAAAACTTCAAAAATTATGCAAATGAAACCCCTTACATGAAAATTTTGTTCTTGGAAATCTCTCTAGCCCATTAAATAAAATAATTATATGCATTGAAATTAATCAAACAAATAGTCACGTTTTGTTTGTAATAAACCGTGAATCAAATTATTCAACAGCTCGGTCGGTTTTGCTATTTTCGGCCGGGTTTATATAATATATTAATTTGATGCAACATTGATGGTATAATATATTGTTTGCCATTCTGTTGGCGAAATTATTCACGTATGCACGTGCGGGTGGGTAAAGGGAGATAAATTAAATGCGACCCGAAGGTTTATTAATAAATTTTTATCGGTTGTTTGAACATGGCGTGCGGTTTTGTGGCGAATAACGCGAGTCGATAATAATTGATTGGACGCGCACGTACAGCGGGGACGGCAAAGTGAGCGCCTCGTGTATTGCACAGTGCCGCGGAATTTGCAATTTATTGTCAACAGCCCTTATCGTGTCGTTGAAATTGATGTCAAACGTTTTCACTCGCTCACTGCTCTAACGGCCCAACAATGCTGGGCTCTTTTCACATGCAAATTCACAAGGGAGATGAGAAAGTGCCTGAGCGACGATAATTTCGCTTTCTTCTTCTTTGTTCGGCCTGATTGATGCACGCACGAAACGCGCATCCAGAATTCGATATTTCATGCTGATCGATCAAATGGAAATTGTACAGTGCTCGGGACTCTGGAAACAATCGGTTGAAAGTTTCTCTCTTCATATATGGGAGTAACGAAGAGAATTGTTTGCAGTCAATGAAAAACGCTATTTTTATATAATAATTTTTTTTTTCGTGCCGTTCAGTTTGCCAAAAGTTTTCCGGTCCATCAGCAAAATTTGCTCCAATCGATTTCTCTCTCCGAGCCAAAAATAAAACTTTTGCATGTAGCAAAATGGACTTGGCTGGATTCTTCCCTCCATTCATTTTCAGTTGGTAAAATAATCTGATATAAATCCTATAAAAAAAAATTGAGAAAGAAATTTACTTACACTAAAATATTATCTACCAGTATCGCTATTAGATTCAAGCCACTATACTGTAGTCAATAAATTAAAATTTAAAACTTAAAAAAACCGTACGAACGTATTGTATTTTCCACTAGTTGATGAATTTTAGCAAAATTCTTGCTATTGGTGGTGCCGTTTTGTGCAACAATAACTTTTGCAAACTAAATTTTGAATAAAATAATTGAATGAATGTAAATCATGTGATGAAATGATGTAACAATTGGACAATTGAATTGTGAAAAATGAATGACCTTTGCTGCTTGCTTTAAAAAAAGCACAAATAAAAAAAGTTTTGACGCTCACAACAAAATGATATAAAATATAAATTCGAAATAAAACTGGTTAGGTTTACAGCTCGAAATAATGAAAGGCGCAGATTTTCAATGGGGTATCATGGAATATCAACCGATTAGTGGTCGCCGTCGATCGTGATTTTTGGGATTTTGCATGAAGGCAGCGGGCAAACGAACCAACGCGCGACTGTAGTCATTTCCAAAAGCGTTTGCAGCTCATACACAAACGGAATTTCAAATTGCGCACACGCATACACCGACCAGCACGTGCCTGAGGGCCGAAATGGAAAATTCCATTTTTCCGCGTCGACGGCGACATGGAATAGCTAATTATTGAGCAAAAGCCGGCTGACAAGTGGCTTGAAGTGCGTCACAGGAAATTTAAAATAATGGACCAGCTTCGAATTGCTCAAAAGATGTGTAAAGTTAAAAATAGCAGTAACAAATTGCTAACGAAGCGAATGGAGAAGAGAAAATTGTTATTATGAAAAGAAAAAAAATAATAACTCGTTTCCTTTGAACAATATCAATTATGTCGGATTGAATCAATAAATTTTTTTTCAATTGTTGAAAGAACAGATCTTATAGGCTTTCAATTGTTTGATATGAAAATTTGAAACGCCAAAATTATTTGAATTATTTTCACAAAATCGCACGTAATTGGCCGTTGGTAATGTACACAATTTTGTTTAATAAAACATCTGAATTTAAATATCATTTAATTATTCTCAAAATTTAACAACGAAATTGCCAATCCGTGAGTTTTCTGCTTGGCAACATAAAAATCATTTCAATGAGCAACCATGAACCAATCACAACAAAAATGATTGCTTCATATGTAATATCGAGTCATTCACGTTTGTGAACAAACATCTATTCTTCCGTTTGCTCGCGTTAGGTCAGAGAGCAAGTAATTTCGATTGACCTGCCTGGTGACCCACAAGCTCTGTAAAACGTCAATCACACACACAGATGACACACATAACAGCTATTCCCTTTCCATGAATATTAATGCGAATTGCGCCTAGATGAAATGACCGTGATGCAACCTGAATGAAAACTTTTAAATTTATACGAATCGTGCATTCATCTGAACTTATGCATTGAAATGGAAAATATATTTTTGTTTACAGGAATGCAGTGGAAATGTTGATGACTTCAAGTCCGCCCATCTTGGAGGCTCAGGGTTCTGGCTTGGTCCCTGATAGCTTTGATTCGTGTTTTGCCGAGTACGCTTCTCACACCATTCCAGTTGGAGGTAATTGGGAATGACTGACAATTGTTTTTTCTAGATTATTAAGTTTTTCAAAAAATTAATTTGTTGCAAGTTCATAAATTTTTGAAAAATTTAAATAATTGAAGTTGAAGAACACAAATTGAATGACAATAGAACAAATTAAATATTGAATAAATAAAACTGCTTTTTATCCTATTTTGTTCCCCAAATGAAGAATTTTCTTGAAAATTTCATGATCAAGGTTGCTTGAATTGACATTTAGCTTTTCCAGGATGGGTTGAGTCGTTTTGTTTTCGTAGTAAAAACGAGCAGGAAATTGTTTTTCAGCGAAACAATCAACGCAGAGCTCAAATATCCCATCGAGGAAAAGCCAAATTTCGATTCAAACACCATCTCTTTTGTTTATACCAGATAAAATAAAAAGTGCAAATGAAGAACTCGGGCTTTTTCCCCATTGTAAAAAATTGTTTTTATTCAAAATCAAGACGGGTCTACCAATTTCGAGTGTCAATTTCTTCAAAATAAAAAGTAGTGCAAAAAAATAAAGAACCAATAATTTCCTCTTAAGATAATTTTATACAATAATTATATTAAATTATTAATAAATTTTGGTAAATCTGTGAGTAAAATTGTAATCAAAACTCATCATTCAGATCAATTCAGATGTCTTAAAACAATCAATCAATTTGAATTATTTTGTTTTTTGATAGACCTTTACTGCAACTGGACGTGGGATTCTATCCTATGCTGGCCACCAACAAAAGCTGGAGACACAGCGAGACAGCGATGCCCTCGAGACAAAGGAGGAGTGGACCCATCAAGTAAGTCCTTCCAATCAATTATCACTTCGCGTATCTCAGTACGACTGTTTGCTTTTTTGACTGAAAATCCGAGTCGTTGTTAATTAAATCGGATGGATTAATCCAGCAGAAGTGTTTTTGCTGTTTGCTCAAATGCTTTTTAAAAGAGCGAGATGAGAAGGAATGAGGAATTATCTTGGGAATCTTGCCATCTTGGCAGACGTGGCTTGAAGCAGTTAAACGTCGTGCGATCCGTTGAAAAAGATTTGCGAGCTGAATAAAATTAAGTAAGAGCATAAAAGCTTTTCATTCAAAGCTTAAATCCTGAGATTACGTTTTTCAAGCAAATCTGTCGGCAGCTCTCTCTGCCGAGGAGAGGAAAAACAATCCAAACGGCTTTGCAATTTTATGCTTGCTTAGTTAAAGAATACCGACAAAAAAAGATGATGAGGCAAATTTAAATTATCCTTTTATAGTGAGAAGTTTTTTCATTGAGAGGAAAGATGATCTTATTGTTAATAAGACTAGTTTTCCTGTGCCTGTCTAAAAAACATGTTACATTCTTTATTTTCAACAAATAAAACTAAAGAAAATTTATCAAAATCTCTCCTTTCATTTGTGATATTTTGATTGAAAAGAGTTTGAAAATTAAATTTCAGACCGAGGAAAAATATTTAATATCAACAACTCATTCAGTGGCTAAAGTTTTTTTTGTCAAAAATAGTTTAAATAAAAATTAATCTTTTAGCTGCTTTATTTATTATAAAACTTTTGAACGCTTTTTCAAATTATCCTTTAATCGCCATGCAACCGAAAAATACTTTTGATGGCAAATTGCGAGATTGCCTTTGCTTTTGAAATGATATGTATACAAAGTCACGTTAATAGAGCGCGTGCAGCCAAGTGAGTGATCGTAGAAAAACACGGACAGCTAGGCCACCCATGCAGATGCTGCGTTGACCACACAAATGCGGTCGCTCTTTTGACATTTTCTCTACTAACGGTGGACCAGAAATTACTATGCTTCCGTTGCGCAAAACGAGTGAGGGAGAAAATGAAGTTCACAAAGGGCGCACAGATCGACAAAATTATGAGAGGACAATTTTGGCAAGGCAAAATACAAGCGTTTTGCAAATATCGTGTTTCTCCCGAAAGCAGAATACAAATATTTGTATTGAATTGAAAATAAATATATATACACAAGTGAAAATAAACAAAATCTCGTGAACTGGTAAATTCCTCCGGATATTCAATCAACGAAATTAATCAAATATTGCCACTGGGGTGCAAATCGTTCTTAATGGGGGAAAGTAAAATAAATTCAATCCAGAATCGAAATGGCCAAGCACCGCAGATTATCGATCGCTAATTTTCTGATCGGATGAAGAGGCAAAAATATCTGCCCGAGAGAGCTTGTTTGCTGACCTCTCTGGTAGACCCATTCTTTTGATTAAAAACCGCGCCGGCCTGTATGATGAGCATTAGAGAAGTCGAAAAGCCGATGCGAGCAACCGAGAACTTCTGCCGGCTCGTCCGAAACTGCAGGCTGCTCTCGAAAATTTTCCAGTACGCCTTTTCGATTATTGAAAAAGCGGTCGGAGGGATGATGCGAGCGCTAACAACTTTTCCGAGAAAGTAAAAATGCACAGACCTTCGTCAAGTTGCGTTCGGCCTTCGCAGCGCAGTACCAGAGCAACTTTGAGTCAGAAAGGAAATTCCTTGTGCCTTTGATATTAACGCACACTTTATAAGCATCAAAAGTTTCAATATGTATAGAAATAAAGCCATATTAAATTATTATTTGAATTTCATCCGTTAACATAAGTGATACATCAAACATATTTCTTGTTTTTAACAAAAAACACAACTTGGTTAAATTTAAAAAACCTGCCTAATAATGTTTTTTAGCATACATATTGAATCTGAAGGTAGACACAGTTTTAATCAAAATCAAACCACGATAAAAAAAATGCAATTCTTAGGGATAAAACAGTGGTTCAACGTGGCTCTCTTTTCCTCAAAAAGCCTGAGGTAAGCGTCAATCTCAATGTTAGGAAGAAGTAAAAGGCCTATTTTCGTTTAATAATATGACACAAATGTCATGTACTGAACTACGTTATCTATCATTTAACTACATAATTTTTTTCCTTGAGGTAGTAGAATAGGAGGATGTAGATCCTGTCGGAAAGGAATTATAAAATTTAGTTCTGCATCCTCTTGCCGAACTTTTATATTAAAAAACAATGACCTTAATAATGCACTTTGAATGGTTACCAAAGTTAATTGTAATGAATTAATGCCATTATATCTGAAATTTTAACGAGAGTTAAAAAAATGTGTAAAAATATTCAACTGCAAACAAATAAAAATAAACCACAAAACGCTATTTTACTTGTGTCTTTTGAGTTAAAGTAAAGATAGCTGCGTATTATCCCAAAACTATTCTTATTTCTTCAACTTGAATTTGACAAAAAAGTTTCGCAAGCTATTTTTTTATAATTTCAAGTTCTGAGTGCAACTTTTCCTCTAATTAAATTTTTTGTTTATCTTAAACAAAAAATCCCCAAAGGATGGCAAATGATAATGAAGAATATCTCAAAAGGCAACAATGAGGGGCTCGTATTCTTGTCTCTGTCAAATTGCCTTGAAGAGTAATCGCATAATGACTTTTCTCCGGCAGGAGAAAGCAGAGCAGCCTGGGGACGGCGGCGACGGTGGAAAAAAAGTGCTGGATTGAATGTAATGTGTGTGTAGGTTAATTCGCCTGCAGTGTCGCGCGTTGAATTAATGAGCGCCCTCTCAATTTTCCCCCGCAAAACACACACAGACAAGCCCTTTCAACCGGCGGAACATGCAGTGCAAAATAAAATATTAACGTACTTTGCAAGTATAGTAGGTACAAAGAGCGCGCGTACAGCCCTATTCTCCTCAATGGCGCGGGCTATACACACGCGCGACACGAGATGGCCCAGGGCACTTTCCAACAAGCGAGACTCTCCAACAGCAAACTAAAACATTATTAGCGAGCCAGCGTTTTCCGCCGCCGGCGCAGTTTGGCATAGAAATATGAAGTATTTTATATATCGACGCCACTCCACGGCGCGGATTTGGCAAAACGCGCGCCTTGCTCGCAGAGATTAACGCAGAAAGAGCTGCTAAAAAAACAAGAGATAAAAAACAACCTTGTTTGCCGACACAAAATTTTCCTGTCTGATATGAAAGTCAGTGATGTGATTCTGCAATCTTCTCTGACGGATTTTTATTAAGAATAAGTTCAACTCAACATCTCAGAATTCCCCGGTCGTGCCAGTTGTAAAAACTTTTGCTCCTCGACTTTATTCCACATAATTTCCCTATGTTTCAAACAAATCGTTTTTCAATAATGGAATTTGGACAAATAAACAACTATACTTATAACAACTAATAGAAAACTAGATTATTTATATACTCCAATAAAAAAGTAGTTTTTTTGCTGTAGATTAAAGTCTATTTTATAAAATTTACTCTTTTTTTAGCGAGTAATTTTAAATTCTATAAAAGTAATGCAAAAATACGTCAATTTAAGATCAATGTGTTTTTTTCACCTTTTTATCATGTTGTTTTCGCACCAGTCTCCAGACTAGAGGGGACTTTCTGTAAGGTCCGGCGTCTTATCTCTTTTCCCCCATTTATATATTTGTTTGCAGGACACCAGTAAACTAACTAATCAAGATCCTAAACTTTTGGTCTAGCCTTAGCTCCCCCATACGAGACTCCTGTCAAAGATATATATGAGTTCAATTCAAATATTAACAAACTTCTTCCCTATTCGGAGCCAACTTATAATTAGGCCTCGTCCTTATAGAGTTTCTCATCGTCTGTCATCAAAACTTTAGCCCCTTTGGTAATAATTTAACAGTTAACTTGATACGTCAATTGTAATATATTTGCCAATCAAGTTGGTGAAAATTTGTTTCTATGCTCTTATATTTTAAATGTATATTAAATTCTTAAGCAATAAAATATCATTTACGGTTGAAAATTACAGAGTTTACGAAAGCTGGAAATTTAGCTAATTTTTCCCACAGTTTTGTTTATTTCATCATCCAAAGTTCTTTGATCTCATGCGCTAAAAGGATTAAAATCGTATAGCAGAGGGCTATAGTATGCCTTTTATGGAATTCTAGAGAAGACCACGGTTTATTTTGTATATGTTTACCAATTAATTATATGGAGCCTAATCAAATAAACATAGCAGTTTTGCAAATCACATTCAGACCATCATCCATGTTTAGGGGCAAACTTGATCGCAACTGTGCATATATTTTTTTTATTCAAAATTGGGTGAAAAGAAAATTTCTCAAATTCAGATTTTATGCTTTCAGAATTCACAACCAAGCGGTGCAGCGTGGACGGTCGCTGGGAGGGCAAAGAGGCCGGCGACTACAGCAGTCCACAGGGATGGACCAACTACACACCCTGCTACACACCCGAAATGTTGCAGGTCATCAGGGAACTGTACGCGGGCTCGGACGGCGAAGCTCAAGTATGTAAATTTTAAATTTCTTAAAAACCTTTCAATTTTATTCAATTTAAATTAAAAAACTGCTTTTTTAAATTATTACTACAGAAAATTTCAATAAAATTAATTTAAACTTTCCATAACTTTGGAAAAATTTCCTAGCCATTTATTTTGATTCAAAATTAAATAATATTTAAAAAATCATCTAACAATTTTTATAAGAAATTTTATGGTTTTTTCGCAACCCATTGTTTCCGTTGTAAAAATGAAAAAAAAGAAGAAGTGATAAAAATGTATTGTTTTGTTTTAATATGCCAGACTTTCTTAAAAGCTTTTGTAAGCTCTCATCAATTTAAAATTTGTTGTATAAAGATTCGAAATAAGTTTGTGGATTTATTTACTTATAATTTAAAGTCCCCCTGAGAGGCATATTCTTATCCCACGCAGTCGTCAAACCTTATTTCCACTATGTATTTACTCTCTCCTACAGCCAGGCTTCTCAACTTTGTATTTCATTGTGCAAAAGGACCTTCCATTACATTTGTATACAACAAAGTTTGCTCTTGTTGTCGCTTTCCTGCTCTTGCAAGCGTATCAACTCAGTAAGTCAAACCCTTGCTTTCACTGTTTGAAAGTCAAGACAGAATGCCCACCCTCAGGAACCCCCCAGTTTTTTTACACTTTCCGGAAATTCTCATTTCCTTGCTTAAACATGTGATTTATCGTTTCTCATCACCTGTTCCGAACTATAGATCAAAATTTAACCTTTTTTTGCTATCAAGCAATTAAAAAAAAATAGCACGTCTCACTGAATCCGATCACGCTTGAGAAGAGATTGTCCGCTGAGTGAAGTGTGTCCATTGACAAGTTTTTTTTTTTTAGTGAACTCCAACGCCGCTGACTAGGTTTTTGCAACAAGAGCTTTTAAGCCCAATTTCACGCTCAAATTGAGGCGCAAAGTGCGTTCGATCTGACAATGAATGCCGGTGAGAACGAACGAAGGGAAGGGTGTTTAATCTGCTGTTTTTCTGTCTTCTTGACACCTCTCAAGTTTGCTTTCCCCCTTTCTCAGAATTTCAATTAAAAAAAACATTTCCGTTTTTAATGCTGTTGAATTTCCCTTGTTGGAATTAAAATGAGATGAATTCAAATCATTTATGGAATCAAATTTATATTAATTTTTTGATTGTTTGTGGTAGCGCAGGAATACAGTATAAATAACATTATATCTCATGGGATTTGATTAGTGTAAAAATGTAATTTAACAAAACAATGTTGAAAATTACAACTCTCAACTCTCATAATGCTGTTGTGTCTAATCTGACATTAAATTATAGTTCTGTTCAGCCAGATTTGCTCCTTCCTCTGACAATGGAAATTTCTTTAAATTTGTAATATTAAAATTGGAAAGTCTGCAGTATTTTCATGAAGAACGCGCTAATTGGACAATTCTGGAAAAAGAGGAAATTGTCAAAAGATTGTTTATTAGAAGTTATAATGATTCCCAGAATATTTTGTGATTGTCAAGGCACAAACGTTGCAGGAATTGAAAGGTTTGTTCCTACTAATGGTGGTGATATTTTTATAAAAACAATTGCTCTCAGTATCACATTGTGATTGTTATACTTATTGTGAGGAAAAATATACAGCGAGAATAACACAAATTATTTGAATGATAAAAAAAATATTAATTCCCTTCTTTAATATTATTTTTAATTAAATAACCAGTATCAGAAAAAGCGGTGAATCCTTTTGCCGGAAAAAGGCACATTTGATGTTGTCAATCAAACTTTTCACATTATGTAATTTTAAAATTTGCCAGTTTGAATAATATATGTAAATTGAACTTTTAATCAGGAAGTTGTCAGGGACAATAATTCTTATATATTCCCTTCAACCTCATTTGTGAAATTGATTTTTTTTCTGCGCGCAACGTTTTGCCAGTGGAGGTGACACCTGTCATTTCCGTAATTTGGCATACGTAAACAGCAGCCTCGCGAATATATCGCTTTTTTTACGATCCGCCGCTGCAAATGCACGAATCACATTAATGTATGCGAATAAATTTGAAAATGATTTTCCATTTGTTACAGACGAAGCTGAATATAGCGGAGAGAACGAGGGTGTTGGAAATTGTTGGACTCAGCGTGTCGCTGACTGCCATGATTTTATCCCTCGCCATATTTTGCCACTTCAGGTGAGAAATTTTTAATAATTTTCCCCTCTCATTTGTTTGTCTGGTCCGTATTTTATAAAGGCATAAATTATAATTTTCCGCTTTGATTCGCCGGACGGATTTTTGCGCGTCCATCAAAAGGGGCTGTGTTTTCCCCTTTAATTAATTGGCAAAGAGTTTCGAAAGAGTTTTCACAGCGAGCTAAACTCATAATCGGCGGTGGCTTTTCCTTGTGCAAAAAAATCGACTTAATGCATTTTTTTACTCCTCTGTCGGAAGGAGAACGGCATTGACGCGGAAAGCGGAATATCATTTGCATGGATGCACGCGCGATTTTGCGAGTGAAATAAATTCAAGCCCGACTTTAAGGGCCCAGAGGGGGAATGGCGTATGAAAGAGTCGTGCGCGCGTCCCGGATGAGACACACACACATCTGCGTCACATTCCGTGCGGCGAAAAGTATCGATTTCCGCGTGAATAATCACGGCGAAACGTTGATAATTAGAAACTGCAGAATGGGAAAAAAGTGAGCCGAGTCACGGGCTTTTCTTTCCACACAATGGATACTGGGTTGACATTCAAGTGAACTACAGTTGCCGACAATCCTCACTCTGATTTGCTACGGAAAAATTCAAACTGACACAATCCAACGTGCCTTTTTAAATTTTAGTATAAATCGCAGATAATAAATAAGTCTTTAAATGCCATTAATGGCTTTGGTTAGTCAAAACATATCCATAATTTTGACGTTGTTGACCTGCTTAACACGTCTTTGAAGATACTGATAAAAATCAAATTAAATGAGCCGAAACAGGCTAATTTTTGTAACATGACTACCTGTTGAGGATATGTAAATTAACTTACAGGTGATTAAAATTTGCATTTTAAATTAGTTATTCATCAGCATCTAAATCATTCAAAGATTTTTTATATTCAAAACTTGGTTTCATCTTTATTGTTAGTTATTTTCTCGTTATAAATGTTAAAAGTCTCATATATATTTAATAAATCTCATTAGATTTGATTTGAAGAGATTTAACGGAGAAGTTTTAGAGAATAAATTAGTTTCAATATATATAATAAAATAATAAAAAAAACTTTGAAAAACCAAAATAAGCTTCAGAGGTAAACAAATTATTTCCATAAGGAAAATCCGTTTTACACTTCATGAAAGTTTTCTCAAGGGCGCACTTCTTCTCTAAAAAATATGTTCCTTAAAACCAACACTTATTTAGAACGTTTTGCTGAAATCTATATAAAAAAGACCAAACTAAAATACTTCTTTTGTGTGCTTGCAATGTGCCTTGACTCCTTTTTTTCTAAACGCGGTGCGACCCTTTGTTGTGATGGAAATGTCTTGCTGTATCGCATTCTTATCACATTCGCGTGGGGGATGCAAATAATGTTGTGTAACATCCCCCCACATACGTGAATTGAATAAATTCAGCCAATAACATTACTGCATTCTCGCTGCATATCTCCACCAAGGCGTGACAGACGTGGAATTCTCCCAGATTTATATTAGGAAAAAGGTGTTCACTCGGACGAACAAAATATAAAATATTCCACATTCAAGTGTTATACATATTATGTAGCATGTATTTTTAATACTGCGAATCATTCTTTATGGAATCACTGGAGAGCGATATCAAAACGCGCACAAAACCTCATGTAGTGTTAAAGGATGGAAAAATTTTCATTGTGAATTAATTGATTTTTCTTTAGTATTTATCTTAAATTTCAAAAATTTAATTAGCAAATGATTGTTATATATTGATTTGTATTTAATGATAGTTATTAATTTTAGGACCTTGCGCAACAACCGAACAAAGATTCACAAAAACTTGTTCGTGGCCATGGTGATCCAAGTTGTGATCCGGTTGACCCTCTACATCGACCAAGCCCTCACCAGGAACTCCAAAGAACTCTTCAGCAGGGCGAACCACTCAAGACAGGGCATCGATAACACAGTAAGACCCATTTTGTTATTATTACTGTTTATTCGTCCCCATTTTTACAATTTCATCGTTTACATTCAATATCAATCAAGTGAAATGTTAAACAAGAAAAAAAATTAAGTTTTAATACTAAAAAAATCGTATGTATTCGATCAAAGGAGACAAAAAAGGGAATGTGCCGTTCAAAGATGATATGAGAAAGCGCGGAATAAATTCAGGGAGGGAAGAGACACGATTGCAGCAAATTTTCCGTGTGAGATGTTCCTTTTTTGTCAAAAATAAAAGTAATTTCGAGGTGAAATTTGAATATAGCAGCATTAAATTTTTCTCAGAAACTTTGAGCTTAAAAATGAAAGTCAACCCTGCTTTGTCTCCTTGATTGCTCCGACTTGACACTAATTTTTTCTTTTTCAAATAAAGATTGCTTCTCATTTCTCCCTTTGGCATACATGCATATATGCCGAGTAAACATTTTTCGTTTATATTGTACAAAAATTTCGTTGCGACACTTTTAAATAAAGAATTTTGTATCACTTTTTACCGTCCACTTTTAAATTAATTTTCACTTCAAATAGAAAAAATCTCGCTTTTTGTATGTTTGCAGGCAATTTTGTGCGAGGCTTCATACGTTCTTCTCGAATACGCGCGTACGGCCATGTTCATGTGGATGTTCATTGAAGGTCTCTACCTGCATAATATGATAACTGGTAAGAAAATATTTTGCCTTTTTTGTGTCCAATATGGAATGCAAGAAGACTAGCGTTCTGATACATTTTCCGATCGGAATAAGTGCGAAATCCTCTGGAGTACGCAAAATTGACTGTCATGCTAGCGCAATTTTCTTTGTACGCGCGTCAATGGAGGATTCAACGCGAGTTTATATCTGGAGAGAGTGGAAGGAAAAGTAGGGCATGAGGAAAAATTTTCTTTTAGAATCAATAAGAGTGCGGCTTATGTTTTCAAGCAACGGTCCTCAATCCTCATTTTTTATCTAACTTGTATTAAATATGTCAGACCCGAGTGAACTTTATCTTACGCAGATTAAAATGATTATTCTCATTATTTGTAAGAAATTATTTTTTTTGGGATTTAGAGTCATTCACCTTCAAAACCCATTTCCATGAAGACGCCGTTAAATAGTTAAGGTAAATACAGAATTTTTAAAAACATTTTCTAATCTTTATTCTACTAAAGTTATGAATTTAAAATATGAGATACAGTTCAAATATGAAATGAAGGAGGCAATGGTTTCAAAACCAAGTCCATATGATACATTAATAAACATGATTTGAAACTAAAATATTTTGAATGTTTCAAAATGTCCTCATTTAAAAATAATGAATTTTTATGCGCCTTGAATTAAGTAAACAAGCTTAATTAGAAGTGAGAAACGTGTGGCACCAACAATGAATATTATATTTATTGAAATTACGGTAAATTCCTCCAACCTCGAAGCCTATTTTAAGTAACTTTTGAAGCCAAAAGAGACCCTAAAAACGTGCCAATCCACTCGCCTGACAAAATTTCTAAGACTAATTTCATCAAAATCGTAGGCAGTCGTTGGAACTTGTAGATGGGGTGAATGACTTAACAAATTTAATCCCTAATGAAACTTTTGCTTGTCGGAGCAAGATGTGTTAGGCGGTTGAATATGAATGGAATCCGGCACCAGACACAGGCATCCCTTTGGTGCAACGTTTGACATTATTGAGAAGGCCAAAACACCAATTTCACGCCGACTTACTTTCCGTGAGATGTGCGTGATCGATTTTTATATCACCGCCTCTCGCACTCAAAAATGTTTATTTTCTGTCGCTCACGTACACATCACTTTTTCGTAACGTAATTGGGGAACTGGTACAAAAAAATCTCACTAACTTTATTATATTTTCTTCTGCTCTGAACAATAATGAGCTGAAAATAAAGTGTGAGGAGAATTAAATTTGGATGGGAGGTCGTTCTCAAAGACATCCAGTTTCTTTGCTGAAAGGGCAACAGCTTTTCCATTTTATTAAAACTTTGTTTTCCAATATTGAAAATTTAATATTTTACTTGGGTGGATGAAAATTTTCTAAAAAAAATTAACGTATACTAAAAATATATAACGACTTGTAAAGAAATGGAAAGGTAATATAATATTCGCGGTGTTTCAAGATAGAAAGTTTTTACGCAAAGCAACATTCCATATACATGCGACATGATATGCGTGAGCTACTTTCCACTCCTTGTTTATTTTGCACTCAAATGATGTAAGGAGAGTGGAAGTAGAAGGCCGTATAGTTAGTTCTGAAATGATCTTTTTTGTGATAAAAATATTTACATCATTGTCGAGAAATAAATCTAGACGAAGATAAAAATTTATTTTTGACCCCTTAAACAAAAAGAAATTTTTTTAAAGTTACCATCTATACTTCAGGATGCTTTTTTTAAGAATAATTTTATTGAAAATAAATTTGAAAGTTCAATTTCCTGTTATTTATGAAACCTAGATCTGACCAAAATAATATTATTAAAATAAATTAAAATTTTTAACAATTAAATTCCAAATTGTGAAGTGAATTTTAAATATTTAAGTTTTATCTTAAGTTACACAATTTATTTTTAAAATGTTGTGATATGCTTTGTCAGCATTAAATCAGTCACAATCAGTCTGGTGTTTATTGTGAAATTTTAAGAATAGCAAGAATCATTTTTTTATTTTCCAAGTTTTGCTATATCTCGTTAATTTTAATTTATTAGCAAACTTCAAAGCATTTTCGCCTTTGCTGTTTCAGTCACCGTTTTCCAAGAAAAGTTCCACTACTGGGCATACACACTGATGGGCTGGGGTGTGCCAATTGTGATGACTACCGCGTGGGCTGTCACCACCGCTCTTTACTTCGAGACAACCAATACCAAGTAAGTAAGGTTATAAAATCGCAGATAATTAACTTTCCCGGACGCCTTTATGAAAAGTTCGCATTCCGCTTCAATCTTTCAGAGAGTTGGGCGTTAATTGGAGTTTAATGAGAGGTGGAGCGTCAAAGTTTAAAAGGGCACCTTGGATATATTCAGAATTACTGGAGTATTCTCTTCGCTCACTCGTGATGTAAAATAATTATAATATAAATTCTTTGAATACTTAAAAAAAATAAATTACAAAGGAATTTGAAATACAAATATTTGATGTCCACAGTTAATTAAGAATGAGAATATGAAAATTCCCTTATTGAATCTTCTAATTAGATAAATGAATAGCTTGTTAAAAAAATTATTATTATTTATTTAAAAAGTTAAAATGTATAAATATTTATAAACCTGAGTAAAATAATATAAATACAGAAGCGCAGTCAGTCAGAATTCTCAGGCAGTATAAATACAGGATTCAGCCCGAAAGAAAAAAATCCTTTGATAGTTCACTACAGTTTAAATTTTATTGAAATATTTTATTAATATAATATGAGGAAAAAAGCGTGATAATAATTTAATATAATTATCTTTTCGGGGCAAACTTTTAAACACGATATAAAATTTGTTTCCTCGACTTTTCATTTGATAATAAATCATTTCAGAAAAAAACATTCAATTAGAACAGAAATTAACGCCAATTATTTTAAATTAGAAAATAATTTTAAATTTCAACTGTTGGAGCCTCTCTTACCTAGTTTAAGATGTGCAAATAGATTCGCAGACAACTTTGTAATGGGATAAATTGGGCGGAGGAAAGCTCCAATTGTGTGTGCAAGAAACGCGTTTCGCGCGGTTCCTTCCTTTGGCTCTACTCTCTGCTCCCTACTTGTACATCCACGACGAGAGAAAGGCACACAAAAGAGACGAGTTATGCAAGCCGCTCGACACGTTCTCCTCGCGGGTTGCATACCTCGGAAATCCATAAGGCGCTCACTGCTCTCTCTCGTTAATGAATGTTTGTACAACACAATGTCACGGGGTTAACACGCTCGTCGGAAGTCGAGCCTCCATTAAAAATTCCTCAACTCATTTTCGAAAGCCACCTACCCCTAAAAAGCAGCAGGTGAACAACTAAAAAGCAGCTTCACGCGTGTAGTCTTGTTAACCGAAGTAAAAAGTTTGTTTATCATTTCCCTCTCTCACGCCGAGTTTTCCTTTTATTTCAGATGCTGGTGGGGGTACAGCTTCACGCACTACTTCTGGATTTTGGAAGGGCCTCGCCTCGGAGTAATTGTGGTAATTATATTTTCTTCCTTGTTGCCAATAACTTTCCAGCAAATGAATTCATCTCCCTTTGTTAAAGTTAAGAAACTGTTTGAAAGTCAGGCTTGGAAAAAGTCTTGCAAAAGAAAATCATTTTCGAATAAGAAAAAGATAAAAATTCATTTTACATCCCACCATGATTCTGAATTATCGCAATACATTTTCGTTAGATATGGATTTAATCTGGATGATTAATTAAAAAAATTTAATTACTAAACAATTACAATTGTTTTCAATTAATACACTAAAGTTCTATGAGAAAAAACTGATTTTTTTTTCTTTTATATATCTGAAATATGAAAAAGTTAAATAAAATTATGTGAATTCTTTTTGCAGGTGTAAGTTCAAATTTCATTTTAATTTTATTTTTGCACCATGTCTCTGATTGCAGCTAAATATGTTATTCCTGCTGAACATCATTAGGGTGCTTGTAGTGAAGTTAAGGCAGAGCCACACAAGTGAGACTGAAAAAGTCAGGTGAGTGCGGAGCTCTTGAAACATATTTATTTTCCTCTGGTATTGATTTTTATAAAATTCCTAATGAGTGCTGCTCGTACCATTATTAAAGTACTTCAAAGACTTTGCAATCTTCCAGTTCTTTTGACATTATGGCGACGCAGAAAACTTTACAATTGTGCCAATTTCTGTCGATACAGAAAAGCGGTGCGCGCGGCCGTCGTGCTTTTGCCTCTTCTCGGAATCACCAACGTGCTCAACATGGTCGATGCACCGCTGCAGCGATCCGCGTGGCAGTTTGCCCTTTGGTCTTACGGCACACACTTTCTCACATCCTTCCAGGGCTTTTTCATCGCCTTCATTTACTGCTTCCTTAATGGCGAGGTAATTATACTGCAAAGAAACCCGTGGGAAATTAACCCATTAATTTATACTAGCCTAGATTTGACCTGATTTCAAAGGTGAATAAAATTGAATGATGCGTGAGAGTTATCTTTTAACTTTTGATTAACATGATTAATTTGGAGCCATTTACAAATTCTATTAAAATCAATTAATTTATCTGGATAAGTCTCTAGATCTTTACAATGGTTGTTGGTATTCAATCCCTGAAAACTCAGCAATATCCCGCAGAAATTCGTCATTTTAATTCATCAACCTCCTCATCGCCTCTTGGTGAATTTTTCTGATAAAAAATATTAGCATACAATTTATATGTAAATAAGTTTAAAAAAAATCAGTTTTTTTATTAGTGATACATTTTTTCTAAACGTTTTCAACCCATCGTTTACTAGAAATAATGTCTTGAGACTCTTGAGAGAAAATAATCGACAGGAGTTATTAAATCGCCTAAATTTTTTGCAGTGATATAGCCATTACTCACAATCTCTCAAATCCAATTAGTCTACCAAATACCCTTGGGAGATACTTTGCGAACTAATAAATAACTTCTATTCCATCATTTCTATCTATTATCTGTCAAATTATATCTTCTTTAATTTTGTCTTTATGTTTGATAAAAAAAAATCGGTATTTTTCCATTGTTTGATATTTTAATAAAATTTATAAGTCTTCAAAATTAATGCCTATTTATATTTGCTATAATTGAGAAATAATTTTTCCCTGTGCATTTTAATTACCTTCTTCAGGTTCGAGCGGCCGTCATGAAAAGCGTGTACGTGTACTTGTCGCTGCGCAGGGACAACCTGCCGCGACGCAACTCGGCCTTCTCGAGCGTCTTTGTGGGCGCCGACGCCGTCAGCGTGGAGCGGACGAGGGCCGCGTCAACGACTCCGGCCGCCGCCGCCGAACTCAAGCCTCGAGCGTGGCGCAAGTGCTGGCTCAAAATGGCCCCTGAGGAGTGCAAGAGTATCCCTGTCCCGATCGAGCCGGACAAAACCTCGTCCCCTGAGTAAATTCTAAAAATAAAAAAAAATAAAAAATTTATTTTATAAATGTTCATTCTTTTGCAGAACGTGTGTCTGACATTCTCCGGAAAGCGGGCTCAACGTTTCAGGGGGCGTTCGAAAAGAGAAACTTTCTGGGGAGGTGGTCGTGCACTTTGTCCCCCACCCCTCCTCCACCCCTGGGTCACCAGAGCTCCACATCCTCACGCAAATTGCTAACAAAAGCAACGAATGATTTCTGACAATTTTTTTTCTTACTATTTTTGTTTAATATTGTGTTAAAAAAGAGACAATGATTTTTTCAGTTATACCTGTTGAAATAAGGAAGTTGCTGTTGTCAAAGTAAATGCTGTGAAAATGCTGAGGTACACAAAAAACTTGTCATTCTCGGAAAAGCACTTTCTGTTGAGCTTCATATGTGTAATAGGGGGTATTAATGTCTCTTTTATATGCCGTGATTTTTTACGTATAGGTATGAATGAAAGTCAAGTTTACAAAAAAACGTCTTTAACCTAATATAAAATTATAGTAAAGCTATATTTATTTATACACTCTTTGATGAAGTCAAACTTTTGAGGGATGCGCACCGTCACAAAATGCCATGATCTCCAATATTGGAAAAAAATTAAATACTGAACGTTTGAATGGCTGTGTAACTCATAACTGACAATGAGTAAAATAGTACTTTCAGTTACAGGCATCAGTAAAATAGTAAAAGGAGATATGTACAAGAGAAAATATTTTAAAACCGATTGAGTAAAACAAAATAAAAGAAAAAGAAGCTTATGTACATCTTGCGTCATACAAACTAGAAAACTTATTACATTGTTTTACATTTAAAAAAATTACTAACTAATTATTTGGAAAATAATTTATACAAAACTTTTATTTCTTAAAATGTTTAAAGAAATAATCAATAGTACAGTGTATTAAGTCCAGTTAATTGAAAGTGTAGAATGTTATGCAGCCTTTCAAAGACAACGTCAAGTTTACTGCATTCTGTGAAGGCATGCGGTTCCTTTTTTCATACCTCTCTTAATGGGATTATGCAGAAAGGTTAATTATATTTATTGCAGCTTTAAATGTTATTGTCATAGCAACTGGTAATGTTTGAACAGCCGGAAAAGGAAGTGATTTATTTTTGTCATATCGCTTGACACATTCACAATGCAAAATAGAAAATAAATGTATAGGCATGATAATTTTATTTATAATATATGAAGCTATTTAGATTTTTACTAATGTTCATACAAGTGACACTTCCTAGAAATATGGTTATAACAAATTACAAATCTGACGTATCATATTTTCATACTCTGTTGGGAAAACTGTAAATCCAATTTTAATGACATTTTTTAAATTGACGATTTAATGGGGGATTTGAATGAACGCTATGCTGTTTGAGAAAGGTAGAGTAAAGCTTTACGCCTGTTTAACACAAAAGGTTCTACATTTCCTCAAAACTTTTATTGATCGTGAAAGTCCAGCCTCTAAACTTAAACTTATAAATATTAAAATGTCGATAGGAAAAATTAAAACGTTTAAATGTTGATTCATATGTTTTGAAACGTCTTACGCGTGGTAGAATAATTTCCAATGATGTTGATCTATTGTTGCAGTTTAATTTTCTCAAAATGTTGTATATTATCTCTGCAGTTGGAAAGTGAAAAAGCGCACACCAATTTAATGTATATAATAATCATCATGCTATATTTACGAGGGAAAGGAGATTTTTTAACTTAAATTCTTGTAAGAATGGAAAGGTTGAAAATATTGTGCTGCACTAACAAGTAGTTAAGAAGCAGATAAAAATTAGCAAGCAGGCCTATCTATAAATATAGGGGAGGGTGCATTGCGCTTATAAATTTGACACACTGCGTCAAAAAAGAAAATAATCATGCGGATAATTGTTTGAATATCAGATTTGCGAGTGTATTAAATCTTTCGTCGAGGGTATGAAAAGTTCCCGTATTTTGATTATCGTTGTTAAATTTTGTATATATTTGTAAATTGTGATTTTTTTCAGTTAAATCAATACCTCATACACTTGCATAAGCAAACTATGTTGACAAGAATCAAGAATCATATTTGTGTTGAAGACTATTGTACAAAAAGAGCATATAATTTTTGTCTGCCTGAATGAAAATTAAATGAATTATTTATTCCCTCTGTCACTCTAAAATGTGGAAGAATATATTTGTGTGCCAATTTGAAGGATTTAATCTAATCTTATTTATTTTATAATCCCTGGAACATCCAACAATAATGAAAATCATAAAATTTAAAAGAAAAATTCCGCACTTTCACACTTTTTTTTTAAAACCAGAACTTTACTTTTCTGTCAGGTAAAAAATGATCTGGATAAAGTCTGTGTAGTTTATGAGCCATGTTTGCGTGTGATTACCAAAATTTTACATTAAATTTACTTTTGGGACCCTCCATGTATATGATAAAATATCTCAGTGTTTACCGCTGGTATGGTGGTATGTATTTCGCGATAATTAAAACACACGTGAAATATATATTATTAAACTTTTCCAACTTTTCTATACCATAATTTTTTTTCTTTTCTTTTCTCCAAGTTCAAACAGGGGAAGTGCGCAGCTTTCCGCAACTCGCAAGACAAAAATACTTAATTCGAATAAAAAATAAAAAAAACCCTAATAGTTTCTTGATTAAAGTAGTGGGGAACTTCTTCCCTCATTCTATATACTTCATAATGAATCTTTTGAGCCAAAGTTGAAGTTCATAGGCGCAGCAGTGAGATGTAGATATAAAAAATAAATTTTTTCATCTCGACAAAAAAAATATTCAAAAAAATTTAAATTTATCTTATTTGTTTTGGGCAGTGTGATCATTGTTATGTTGGCATATTGGCCGAGTTTTAGCGCGGTTGTCACCACTGCTGAGTAGCAGTGCAAGATAGGAAGATCCGGTAAGTTACCGGTAACCGTGAAAAATATACCGGTTAAAAAGGGTTGGGGACAGTTTCCTAGAACGGTAAAAAGTGGCTAATATAAAAACCGGTTTTTATGCAATGCTTGGCAACGCTGCTTCCATTGGCACGAAAAGTGTTCAGAGAGGAGATAAAGGACGTGAAAGACACTCAAGTTTTATTACATAAATAGAATAGTCTTTTATCTCAATGAGAAATGAATGTTTTCTTTTATCCGGTGCGCTCCGAAAATAATGAAATTGTAAAATTTGCGCTAAGAAATACGATTAATTTGATTTAATAAATTATATTTTATCTGAAATCAACATTAATAAAATTTTTAGCAATATTTTTTTCAGATAAAATATGCAAAATATAGTTTAGGTGCATAAAAAAGTTTATATGATGAATAATTAAAAAATAAAATATAACGCAATAAATTAGTTTTGGGAATATAAAAATTCATAGAAATTTAAAAATAAAATTGCAAGAAGCTTCTTACTAAATAGTACTATTTTTAATAAATTATATAATTTAGAAAAATATAAAAATGTCTAAAGAAACTCACAATATGTAGTTCAAATTTTCTAGGAAAACTAGAGCAACAAAAAAATATTTTTTTTTTTTAGTAATTAATCATAGTTGTGTTGGACTTAAAAATTTAATTCATGTTGGTTTATTGGAATCTAGGCTTTTCCTCGATGAATTTATTAATAGACGACATTTTTCACTTTGCATATTTTGGGCTGTTTGTTATTTTTTTTTTTTTTCCGTTAATGCTAATGATCACCCAGCAGAAAAATAGAACTCATTCCAGCACAGAGAGGTATCAATTAACAAAAAAAATTCAAATCACTTAGCTTCTTTTAAGAAAATTTCATTTTTGAAAGATAATGATCATAAATTTCTAACCATTTGACATGAAATTTTAATTATTTCCCCCAACCTTAAATGTTCGGTTGCCAAAGTCGAACTGATCGGTCCCATGTCTTGTAGCAGTTATTTGTTCTCAGTGAGAGTGTGTCTAGCGTGTACTATTTATTAGTTAATATTTTCAAATATAATTTTTACTAGCAAAAACCTTTTGTTTGTCCACTGAAACTCTGACCTTTAAAAATTTCTCTCGCTTTCCGTAAGAGTTTTCCAAAAATAAAAATTTTGACTCTGTAGCAGAAAAAAAATAAAGTTGTTAAAATTTTTTATTAAATTATTTTACTGTTTGAATTAAATCGCAGATCAGAAATTATATAACAAACAACTCATTATTTAATCAAATTTTCCAATTTTTTTCCCTTGAGAATTATTTAAATCAATCCGCAAATAGCTGTTGCAAAAATTTTAAATAAAAATTAAATTATCAAAATCATACTGCGGTCGAAGATCAGCGTTAAAGATAGAAAAATTGGAAAAATTGAAGTTAATATTCCTGGCCATATATTTTTTCCTTTTTTTTTTAAAAAGGATTTTGTATTAAACGCTTTTGCGTACAACTGGGGTGCAATGCAAACACCCTTCTCAACACGAAATCCTGCGGCCCCCGGCCGACTTTAGCAAAGAACAACCCTTCACTCGCAGTCCCAGTATGAGAAATCACTCAGGTTCCCCCGAGAAAAATCCGCCTGGAGTGGGAATCGAACCCACAGTCTCCGGGATGGAGGGCAAGCGCATACTCCACTTAGCCACTGGAGTCCTCCGCCCTAGAGAAGAGTGTTCGCGCGCCGTGTCAGGTGCACGGCGCGTTTGCAGCCAATCAGCGGCTGGCTGGCTGTTTGCCACTGGTCCTTAGAGCAGGCAGCAGGTGGCAGCAGGCGAGCCAGGCGAGGCGCACCGCAGCACGCAGCACTCGCATGACTCGCAGCAGCCAACAAAAATATAAACAAAACAAACAAACACCCAAAAGTTGGTTTGTGATTTTCTTTTGCGATTTTACAATTATTTTGGTATTCTGGGCGCATTATACGCGAAATAATTTGTACGCCATGGGAACAGACCTACTCGCTTTTTATCACGAATCCCTGCGATGCCTCGAATCAGTCCTGGACGACCTGGACTGAGTATTTTTCATCTATAATCCAAGACCTGACAAGCTTGTCCGCAGCTACATGTAGATTTGTAGAATATCCCAAACTTTATTTGGCAAGTGAGATGTAAATAAATTTATTTTGTTTGTAAATCATAAATTAAAATAAAAATTATGTTTAACTAGTTCTGATTGGTTTTTAAGATGTTCGTAGCAATATATCATTTTTGAATATTTTTTTTCTAATTGTTATCTATTAATTCAAAAAATATTTTAAAGAAAGTTTGGATTCATTTTTATTTTTGCAGTGAGCTTCTAGGCCCTCTGAGTCAAACCCTTCTTGACTTGATTGTCTAAGTACATAATTTTTCTACTATGTATATAATTGTTCATTTACTAAAATTGTAACTTGAATTTGCTCAAAATCATTGTAATCCTTGTCTTTCTTGACCAATTTAACTTCTAAAATTTCTCAGATTTTTTAAATTAAATTAACTTAGAAATTAAATTTAACAACACAAGTTGTATTTTTACTGCATTTTTATTTCAACAGAAAAAAATAATAAATTTTATATACTTTATAGGACAGGAGGACCATAAACCAAATAATTTAAATTAATGTTTATGACCGTCAGGGTGAGCTGTACACAAGTTGTATTTTTCTTCTATTAATTTAAATCACGCGCGCTTGATTTAGTATCCCACGTTCAACATTCTCCTCACCTAACAATCCCATCACAAAATCAGCCAACCTCCTCGTTACGCCCCCTTTCAGAGCCCACTGTTGCCATTCGGTACCCGCCCACCCTGACCTCTGCCTATGGACATTAGAAGCTGGATTGGTCGAGACGCCATTTTTCCGTTTCAAGACCCCAGGCTGCCCGGGGTCTTGAAACCGAAAAATGGCGTCTCGACCAATCCAGCTTCTAATGTCCATACCTCTGCCGGATATGTTTGTACCAGTCTAGGAAACGACCTACAATCGTTAAAAAGTTACCGTCATATACCGGAACTTCCCTAGTGCAAGAAGCAGTGAGTAGTGATAGTGAGTCTGCAGTTTTTCATTTTTTGCGAGTGGAGATGGAGAACGAATTGAACGAAACGCGGTGCTGCGATCAGCTGCCATATTATTCACTGCTTGTCTAAAAGGCGAATTTTCGACTTTGTCGGCGATATTTGTGCTAATTGGTGACATCCGCGGTCGCTCTGAGCCTGAGGAGGCCGGTGAATGGAGGTCACGGGGAGGAGGCAGACACTGGAGAGACTCATGGACCGCAGCCACCGGCCTTTTTGGTGGTTCTGACGAGACGGGGGCAAACTGAGCGAACACGGGGACGGCGGCAGCGGCTTTTTCCGTCTTTCAAGTTAAAACTTTATCTCGAAGTGAGTTGCATTTAATTTCTTTAATTTAATTGGATTATGATACAAATCGTTTTATTTGCATGCCACTTTACGGCATGCTTTGCATGGCCAAAACTGATTCGCTTGATAACCAGGATTGCCGTAGCGCCATTATTTTAAAATTAAGTCAGCCTTTATTGTGTGCATACATAATCCGATAAATACATAAATCATTTTCTGATTTTTTTGGCACCATCCAAATGTCGAAAAGATCGTCGATCGGCAATCGGCGTCTTAAGGCCCTGTTTCTATGGTAAAAGTAACCGATAACACCACTTTTTATACATCAAACACAAATTTTTTGGTCCTAGCGATCACATGACGTCACAAACCGGAAGTGCGCAGCCGCCGTTCGAGCAATCGCGTCCGAATCGTAAGATTTTGTTTTATTTTTAATTAATTTTACGCGACTGACAGTCAAAATTTTTTAGAATTTTTTTGAGATGGCCAATCGATTGGAAATTTAATTTTGACTAGGGTGAGTAAATTTCATCAAAAAATATTGAGCTGTTTTCAAGTTGCAGCTTCCTTTTTCATGAGCGCACTAATGCCGCCTTCGTCTTCAAAAGCGCTTAGAGGTGCCATCACATTTTATTTTCTTATTTTGAAACGGCGCATTATTTTTTGATGAAACATTCATTCTTAATTCAAAATTAAATTTCCAATCGATTGGCCATCTCAAAAAAATTCTAAAAAATTTTCTTCTATGTTAAAAAATTATATTTTGACTTTAAGCCTTCCGTTCATAAGTAAAAAAAATTTTGACATTATCAAGCCTGTGAAAGAAATTGTAGGAAATTTAATTGGCAACATTTTTCTTTTAGAATTTTTATGTTTAAAATTTTTTTTCTAATTTTAAAA